TGGGGGGCGGGGGGCAGGGGGCGGTCGTTAGAAGCCGAGGATGCTGCTGAGCACTCCACAATGCATGGGACAGCCCCCACAACAAAGAACTATCCAGAAGAACCGTCCCAGACATGGGCAGTGCTGAAGTGAGAAACCCTGATCTAGCCAAGCTGTCTTTTACAGATGAGGAAACTGAGGCCCAGGAAGCGACCTGGCCGAAGTTGTACTGTGACAAACTAGTACAAGGATTAGAATCCAGTTCCCACCAGCCACCAGCCTCCTCCAGCTACCAGGCACGCGGTGACCAGCTCAGAGACTGGTAGCAAGCTGGCAGAGTTGCCGAATGCGGAACCACAGGATTGAGAAGCCCAAGACAGCTGGGCTCTACCCCTTGGACAGGCCCCAATCATCCCGCTCAGGTCAGCCTGGCCAGGGGTGCCCGAATAATCAAAGGGGAAGAACGTCTCAAGGACCGTGGTGCATCCAGGCAAAACACCCGATGGACGCCTAGGCAGAGTTCACAACTCACATCCCCACAGAGCACTCTGGGGGTGGCCCTGGCCTGGTTCAAGGCCAGGAGCGAGGACAGCTCTCTAAAGCAAACCTCACTTTCGAGGGCACAGCGTGGGCAGGAATTACACCTTGGATCACTGCTAGGGGGGCCCCGCCTTTTCTCCTAGACGCTAAAATTGATTGTCTCTCTTGTACCTACTGGCTTCTCACTACCATCTACATAATCTCAAAATATTATCTCGAGTCACCCTTGTCCTTGCCCCCAAGGAACGAGCACTGTGTTCCCAACTGCAAGCCAAGCACCAGGGCACAGGTCCAGGCATCAGAGCTGACAGAGCACCCCATCACTGGAGGACTGACTCACCTCATGTCACAACAGGGGTACTTTTCCATCCCCTGTTGCTGAAAGCCACCAGCCTCATCGTGATGGCGGTGATAAAGAGGAGGCCAGGGGTCAAAAATGCATGAGCTATGTCTCAGGCTGGGGCTTCACCCGCTCCAGCAGAAGGGACGACATAGGGAGCAGCTGGGGAGCAAGGATGGGGGAAGCCACGGTGGCTTGGGACCCAGGAGTCACCAGGACAGAATCATTGCTTCAGGCAAGTGTTACCTTTGTTTCCTCCATCTCCCTGTCCTCTTCCTCCCCAGTTTTTCAAAGCAGCTGGTAAACTCCTATACATCCTTAGAGGCACAATTTCTGGTGTCTCCCCCAACACCAAGGCAGAGGGACATTCCCAATCTTAATATGGCAAACCACAGTGGCAATGGAAAAGCATTTGGGGGTCAAGAGCAGGGCTCAGGGAAACAGCCAAAGTCCCCACTTGTCTACTGGGTGGGCCCATATGAGAACAGCTTCCTCTGTGTGGGGGTGCCGACCACCCTGGCCCCCAGGCTTTTCATCCTGTGTGGCCCGCTGGGTTGTAGTGCCTGGCAACCAGCTGACAATTATTGAATGCTTATTCCCAGTATTAAAAATGCGACCATCGCCCCCTCCACGCAATCAGGAAAGAAGGCAGGGACTACATTTCCCATGAGTGTGAGGAGGAAATGCCTCCAGGGACCCCACCTCCCACCTATGCCCCTGCCAGCTTCCTTGGAAAATCTTCTTCTTCCATCTATCCTCCAGATGACTCCACAGGGCCCCAGAGTTTTGCCTTAAAACACAGATAAAATTCCTTTCCTGAAAAATGACAGCTGGATGAATGACTGGGGGCTGGGGTGGGGGGTGGCGGGGGTTGGGAGCTGAAGCTACTTAGTGCACCTAGGCTTTTTTTTTTTTTTTTTGACCACATAAAGTTTTAGCTTCTACTGTAGACAATTCTTGGCCCTCCCCTCCACCCCCACACTCAAGTTTCTCCATCCTGCTTGTCCCTACACCTATGTAGTTCTTGCGTCCTCCAAGGAAACCACTCTTATCAGATTCCTAAGGGAGGCCTCAGAGCCCCAAGCTTTCCCCAGGACCTTGGGTAGGATAGTGTCCTCACTCTTCCTGGTGCACACATCTGGTCACACCTTCTCAGCCTGGTTTGTCATCCCTGGCCCAGTGGTCTGGAGCTCCTTCCTTTCCCCCAGGGCTGCCAAGGGCCCAGCTTTGATCCCCCTTGGTTTTCCAGTGTCCCAGGGAATTTTTTAAAGGCTGCCTGGAAGAGGCACTATTTTCAGCACTACCAAAAGGAACCAACTACCTTTGGAGAGCAGCCTTGTGAGTCTTCTTTTGGGGAGGGGGGCTTTAAGGGAAGCAATTCTCCTTGGCTCTCTCAAATCACCCTATGTGGGTGGCCATCTGCTCAGCTGAGGAGCTGTCCCTCTAGGTAACCTGAACATTCTTCCCACGGCAGTTCTTGATCACCCCTAACAGCCAGGGGTAGGGGACAGACACCTGGCTAAAATAGGATTTTAGATGGTGATAAATACTATGGAAAATCGAGCTGGGAAGAGGTAGCAGGGATAGGACCTCAAACGCTGTTTCCACTGAGAAATTCTGGGTCTAAAGCTCTCCCTCTGCTGGGTTCGTGTTAAGCCTCAGGCACTGGCAGTAGGAAGCTGGGCAGGGCACTACATGTGTGCAGGGACAGCTGGTGGGGGTGGTGACAGGGGCCGCAAAGGCTTGTACCCCAGCTACGCTCTCACTGGCCTCCGCCAGGGAACAAAACTGACCAACTGTGAGCACCCTGGTCTGTCCTGAGGCCAAAGCAGACATCTGGGTCTCCAGAGGAGTTCAGGGGTACGGACTGCCTGGCAAGGCCTCAGCGGTCTTCAGGGTGCTGCCATGGAAAGTCCAACACCCCTTGCCGGGCTTTCCGCACTTGACTATGGCCTTGAATGAGTCAGACAATGACCACCTCCACCTCAAGGGGCTCTCATACCCCTCTGGTCCCCCCTCCTGGAGCCTCCAGGTATTTTCTTCTTACATGGGGTTAGGGAGAAGGATTAAAAACTCCCATTTTCCACCAATTTTGGCAATTTCTCTTCCTGTGGAGACTTGTTTTTGATCAAGGGCCCCTTCCTGTGAACCTCCTGTATGCTCAGGATAAGGCCGGCTCTCTGAGGGAGGCCAAGATGGGTGTGTGGTCACTTCCCAGACAGAATGGACAGCCCACGTGGGGAGCTCATACACAGAAACTCACAGAGCACTTTGGACCACTCACTCATAGTCATGCACACTCTTTTGTCCCCATGTGACAGATAAGGAAACCATGGCCCAGAAAAGCAAGTTATCTGCCCTCAATCCATGGCTGCCCCCCATGAAAGGGTAAGGAGGGAGAGGAGGCAGAGAAGAGTCAAGCTCCCAATAAGATTTCCTGGAGGGCTGGGTAGGACCCCGGTGCAGATGGGACAGTGTCCCCTGCCTCCCAGGACAGGGCCAAGCTAGGCATGCAACCCATCTCCCTCTGCTTCTCCCTGGTCTGAAAGTGGAGAGCCACAAGAAGTAGATCCGGGGTGGGGCACCTGGGTGGCTCGGTCATTAGCGCCTGCCTTTGGCTCAGGTCCTGATCCCAGAGTCCTGGGATCAAGCCCTGCATTGGGCTCCCTGCTCAGCCAGAAGCTGGCTTCTCCCTCTCCCACTCCCGCTGCTTGTGTTCCCTTCCTCACATTGTTTCTCTCTATCAAATAAATACAATCTTTAAAAAAAAGAAGAAGAAGAAGTAGACCTGGGGAAAGGGAAAGCCTTCCTGTCTGGAAAGGCACATTGGTATTATGGATGTGCCTGCCGATTTATAAAGCATCAAACTGCCCCAAGTGGGTAAGGAGGTCAAGGACCCTCCGAGGTAGTAGGCACCTTTTGGGTCCTACCTTTCAGAGGACTCTCTTTCCCCACCAAGGGCAGAGATCCAACAGCTGCAAAAGGAGCTCTGTCATTTCAGGTTCATTCTTCTGGTCTGCTAAGTACCTCCTGCGAGCCAGGCACTACCTCGAGGGCAGTGAGCCCAACAGGTGCCTGCTCTCCTGCGGTCCTGTGGCTGGGCAAGGAGCTGGCTCTCTCCCCCAGGAGCCACAGGACCCGATTTTCTTTCTTCTTGGTGGGACCCTCTCCTGACCTCCCCCTTCCAGGGGAAGAACCTCAAGGGACGAGGGGAGAAGAAATGAAACCCTGCTGAGTCAGGGGCCCAGCAAAACTGGAGAACCAACCATCTGGTTCTAGGAGACTGGCTTGAAGTTCAGATACACCATTTTCTCCCAGCAAATTATTGAACTTCTTTGAGTCCCTTTTTTGTTCGTTTGTCAATGGAATAAGACCCACTGCCTCACTGGTTTATGGGGGAGAGAGGGGGTGAAATCAGAGATGTGTCCATGTTAGTTCTCTGATTGGCAAACCTCCCTCGTCTGTTCTCTCCCGTCCTGCGTGGGCAGGGGCACCGTCTAACCCCAACCCAGCAGATCCGTCCAGGCCCCTGATGGGCTGCAGGAGAGCCACGTTCTCTCCTGCGCAGGGCTGGGGTTTGGGGGTGCCCAAGGATGCCCAGCCGGGCGGCGGCCTGCCAAAAGACAGGGCAGAAATCGGGATTTCCCACTGCAGCAGGGCCTAGACGGCCGCCCTGACAGAGGCCGCCCCCTCACCCGCACCCCTCCTGCTGAGGCCGGCTCTCCCTCCATGCATCTGGCCCGAGGCGGCAGGAGGCGCGAATGTAAACATCCCTCCAAAAATCGCCAACTCCGCAGTCCCCAGCGCAGGACTCTGTGAAGGGGCTGCGGGGACAAGGAGGGACGCAAACGCTCAGGGGAGTGAGAAATGGGACGAGAGAGAAGACCAGCATCCCCCGTGTCGGCGGAGACCCCGCGCGCCAGCCCAGGCTCCGCACCGGCCCCCCGCGGGGCAGGACCCCGGGACCGGGGCGTGCGGGGCCACGGGTGCCGGTCGCTCCGCCCGGTGCGCGGCCGTCCCGGCGCCAACTTCCCGAGAGCGGCCCTCGGGCGGCGGGCAGCGTGGGGACGGCGGGGTGCGCGTGGACTCCCAACCGCGGAGGACGCGCGCGGAGCCGGCCAGGAGTCCCGCCCTCGGTTACCTGGCTTCCGAGGGTCGGCGGCGGCCGGCGAGGGGCGCAGGGGCGCGGCAGGGGCCGGCCGGACACCGGGACACTCCTCCGGGGCCGCGGCGGCCCTCAGACACGCGGGCGCTGCACCTGGCCCGGCCGGTCGGCGCGCCTCCCCGCGGGTCCCGCCCCCGGTGCCCTCCCGCGCAGGGCGGGGCGGGGCGCGTCGGCCCCGGGGGAGGAGCCGAGGGCAGGGGGCACCCCCTCCCGGCGCCTGCCAGCGCCCAACCGCGTGCCCCCGACGCCTGACTCCGTGACCTCCAGAGCGGCGCCCACCATTCGCCGGCCGGAGATGCCACCCAAGCGCTGTGCCTGGTGGAGTCGCGAGGGGCGCATAGGCCCTCCCACCCCTTGGACCCCTTCATGTGCTTCACGTCCACCCCCACTCCCGGGGACCAAGGTCTGGGAGCCTGCCCTTCAGAAGAATGCACCGGGTGGAGCACGGGAAAGGAAAAAAACAACTGGGTACCCGCAGCCCCACCCCACCACGTCCTTTCCCCACCCTGGGCTGTTCTTGGCCTCGGCGTCAGCTCCACTGGCTCTCTCCGGAATGCCCTTGCCCCGGGGGAGCTTTGCCACCCTCTGCCTTTCCCCAGAACTCCATTTCCCTGATCTGGAAGGTGCTGGGCCTGGACGCCTGCCACTCAGTGGACACAGCGACAAGAGTAGAAGGGACACAGGGGACAAAAAAGAAACAGCCCTCCAGCTTGTGAGGCTGCTCCCAGGTGCTGACGGAGCAGGTTGCTGCTATTTCCTGCCTGCTCCCACCCCACCCCCTGAGGAATTCTGGAACATGCACCCTTTGGGCAAAACTTCCACACTGAGATGGAGGTTGTCCTTTTTGCCCACCCAGGCCTTCTGGGTTCTTTCTGCTTCCTGCCTTGCCATGTTTGTTAAATGTGCAGACACAGTGGAAGGAGCACAGGACCCAGGAGTCCTGAAACCTCCATTTAGGTCTGTGACCTTAGACAAGTCTCTATCCCTTTCTGAACCTGTTTCCCCATTTGCTGTGAGTTAATTATCTCTAAGGCCCTTTTTATGGATCCTGAGTCGTGCTATGGGGCGTCTTGCTGAGGTTTCCTTGTAGCTGTAAAGCAGTGTGTGTATGTGCGTGTGTCTCAGTCTAATCAGCCTGTCCTGTCAGAGGTAATTTTCGGAAGGAAGTGAGGTGGCCACGCAAACAGGCAGCCAGCTTGTGCAAACCAGAGCTTGACAAGAATGGTCAGCACAGGGGGAATGGGTCCCAGTCCAGCTTTTGCTGAATTCAGAGTGGCCTTGGACAAGTCCCTCGTTAATAATCCCGGCTTTGCCTTCCCAAGGGTTTGGGGGATTAAATGGCATATGAGATGTGAAGCCCTTTGAAGGGGAAGGCAAGGCAAGGCACTATGTGCTTTCTGATGTCATCTTTTGATGCCTGTGACAGTGATGGGCTTCTGAGGCAGAATAGGCACAACAGGGTGTCCCGCTTTCAAAGTCTAGGGCTGGTCGCACCCCCTCTCCTCTCCACTCTTGCAGAAGCTGTGGCGCACACAGAGCGGTCACACAGCCCACCACCAGCATCCCCTGCCAAGGTGAACAGGGGCCACCTCTGCCCACTGCAGGCTTCTCTGAGTGCACCTTGAGACCTGAAGGGGGAAGATTAAGGGGCTTCCGAAACCAGAAGGAGGGTGCTCAGATTAATTGATCAGCCGGTCTTGACCAACCACATGGTTGGCAGGTGCAGCAGCTCCCCCACCCCGCCTCTGCCGCAGGAAGATTAAAGCCCAGCTGAATGGTGAAACAGGACCCCTTGAAGAAGGATGTGGAGCAAGGAGGGCAGCTGTGGATGCACACAGGGAGGGCAGAGCCAGGTGATGGGGGAGTGGGGAGCGCTTTGGACCACATGGAGAAGAATTTATGGAGTATTGGGTTCAACTCCCCAACTTCACATGGGAGGAAACAGAGAAGAGTGAGCAGCTGGTTCTCCTCTCTGACCCTCGGTTTCTTATCTGTAGAGTGGGATCCAAAGCTCATTCCTTGCAGGGCTATCGCGGTGACCACAGAACACTTTTGGAAGTGCTCTGTGAACTTAGGAGCACTGAGTGAATTTAACACAGGTTTTGTTGTTTCTTTTCCAGGGCCTCAGTAAATGTGTGGACCTGCCCCATGCTGGGCTGGGCACTGCCTCTCTTCGTGGCAAGGAGAGATGGACCGTGAAAGGGGGTTCATCTGCAAGTGGTTAGAGGATGGAGGGAGGGCAGGGGGAAAAGGAAGGTGTCACTCAGAAATGTCAGTTCTCCTTGGGACACTTTTACAACAATTCCCTTTTTGGAGGACATTCCTTCCCCATCCATATGACTTTCTCCCTCTTGCCCTCCCTGGCACCTGGGTGTGCCTGGCACCCCATGTCAGAGGTACTTTTCCCAAAAAGGAGCTTATTCCTTGGGGGCTGGCCAGCTCCTCCTGGAGGGGCCCAGAAGGTCTGTCCTCTTTGTCCAAATGACCTTGTCAGACAGCAGGAATCATGCACCCGCACATCACAGTGGGACTCGGGTGCACCCAACCTTCACTTTGCTCCCAGGTCCTGTCCCTCCTCTTGGGTCCCTGTGATGGAGTCTTCAGGCTGGGGTCACTGCTTCACTTTGCAGATGAGAAAACTGAGGCCGGGAGAGGGGCCAGCACTGCCCGACAGCGCATCTGACAAAGCTCTCTCTTTGCCTCATCAGGGCTGGAAGGAGGATCAAGTCCATGGGAGAAGAAATGGCCGCTCAGGGAGAGTTCATGGTTCACGGGAACTTCTCGAAGAGCTTCCCTTTGGGCCACTGTGTTCAGACATTGGCCTCCTAGGGTGACTGAAAAAAATCACCACAGGTGCAATGGCTTAAAACTGCAGAAACGTACTCTCTCACTGTCCTGGAAGTCTCAGATCCAGGCGTCTGGAGGGACACAACCCTTTCGAAATTTCCATACGACCCCAAGTCCTTGTCTCTTTCAGCTTCTGGGGGCTCTGGGAGGTTCTGGGCTTGCGGTGGCCTGGCTCCAATCACATAGCCTTCTTCTCTGTGTCACTCTGTGTTCTCTCTTATTTGCACAAGGACTCCAGTCACTGGCTTCAAGAGGATCTCATCTCAAGATCCTTAACTTAATGACACCTGCTAGGACACTTTTCTCCAAATCAATTCATAGTCACAGAGACTGGAGGCTAGGACATGGCATTATCTTTTTAAGGGACACCATTCAACCCAATACAGTGTCTTTCCTCCCCCTGGGGACACCTCGTGATCTCTCAATTTCTCACCACATCTCAGCTGCCCGGGAGACACCCTCCCTGGTTGTCTAAGAAAGAGACAGGAGGCTGGGGCGGTAAGTTGGGGGACTCCCCTTCCTTTGACTTCCCATCCCAACACCTCCCAGTCTGGTCATGGCTATTTCAACAGCATCCTTTGTGCCTCTTTCTCTAACACCTTTCCCTCGTGGGGTACCTATGGGAAAGACACCGCTCTAGAAGGGTGTGCTCACCCCACCCTGTGCCCCAGCCCCTCTGCGGATGCCCAGGGCTTGACAGCCCTTTGTCGAGGAGCTGTGGGGAGTCACAGAGCTTTGCATTCCCTATGGAGATCCCAGCCCCCACCTCCCCACCCGGCAAACCCTGCCCAGGTGTGGATGCAATCCTTGGAGCAGGATGGGGTAGATGGAACATGAAGGGCTGGCCCCTGAATGGTGTGTGTGGAGGAGAAGATGCTGAGAGGGGAGGAGGGTGATGCCCCCCCTTCCTTGTCTGGGACTCAACATGGCCAGGGCCAGGCCACAGGGCCATGCTTAGGGCCTGGCCCCTGGCCTCCCCAGGGAAAGACCACAAGGGCCTGTCCTCTGGGGTACCTGGAGGTTGTCCCAGTCTGCCCTGTGCCAGCTGGGTTTCTCAGGGCCAGTATCCATCAAGAACAAGAGAATCTGGAAGGGCCTTCAGGGTCATTTGACCTAAGGAGTAAAGATGCTCATGGAGAAGAAGCAGAGATGCCGTGAGAGGGCCTAGCAGACCGTAGCAGCTTCGTAGGTCAAAGCAGATCTGCACAGTGGCCGAGGGCCCACAATCCTCCATACAAGGGGCTCAGGCAGCCCCCCGTTTGCAGGGGGAGAGCTGCAGGACCGCATCGGTAGAGAAGGGCACCTGTCTATTTGCGGGGAGGGTTTCTTTGGGGGAAGGGCACACATGGAGATGACGAAGGGAATGTAGGCTCCCTCCTCCCGCAAACACCATCCCAACTCACAGCAACCTCTGTTTTCTCCTCGTGGCTTCACATAGCCTCCGTACTTGCATCCAAAAACGCCCCACCAAGAAAATGCAATATCTAACCCAGTGGTTCCCCATCCTGGTGAGATGTCAGCACAAGCCACCTGTTCAACCCAAATCTCTGGAGGTGGCCACCTGGATCTTCTCGAAAGTTCCCCAGGTGGTTCTGGGAAGCAGACAGCATGGAGACCCCGAGGTAGTCCGACTCTGGGGGCTGCCTGACTCTGGGTGTGTCAGAGAGCCGAAGCCACGTCTGTGTCCTTATCATCCTGCCTGCAGTGCCCTGGGTTGGACCCAGCACACCTCAAATAGTCATCCAGATACGGGGAGCCTGCCCGGCCGGCTCCAGAGCCGAGCCATGGCTGACAGACGTGCCCCAGCAGAGACTGCTGCTGTACTTCCTGCCTGGATTGGGGGGCCATCCATGCACGTGCCTCAGCGCTTCCCCGGGCTTCTCCTTCTCCTGTACCCCTGAGCCCCACGCACCGGGTGTGGACACGGCACCTGCTGGAGGCGAGTCAAACTCTCCCAGAGGAGTGCTGGGGTGGAGGTTGGGTGTCAGGAGCCGGGGAGCGCTCCTCCCTGCAGCCCCTGGTTATCTGCTCTCAGCCTGAGGCTGCAGCCTCTCCTCTAGGACTAACTGCCCTTAAGGGCTCTTACCCCCACCCCAGCAAAGGCTGACTGCCCCCTTGAACCCAGAGACCCTCCCCTCCCCGACCCCAGCTCTCTTTCAGCCCCCAGGCACCAGCTGTCTTCAAGCTGCAGGCAAAACCTGGACTCCGATCTCTTTCCAGAGCCACCAGCAAACTCATCACTTTGAACGTGGCAGTCCCACACCTGAGGCTGTATCCTAAGGGAATAATCCTCAGACACTGAAAAAGCTCTTGGAACAAAGTTTTGCCATTTTATCTAAAAACAGTGAACTTGAAGTCACCTAAGCGTCCAGCCCCAGCGCGCTGGTGAGCAGCAGCACGCCCACTGTAAGAGCTAATTGCGAGGATGATTGCAACACGGGGGATCGCTAAAGATCCAGTGTTGAGTGCGAAATTG